TCTGACCCAGTTCATGTCTCCCCGACTCCCATCTCCTAACTTGGGGTTGAGGTAACTCCAAAAAGTGGTCAGTTATTTCTTGTTGTGTTCAGCTTCAAGCCATGTAGTGGCTGCCCCTCAGCTGTTAGTCAGTTTTTAGGGTAGCCGTCTTCTCCCTGCCCGGGTGCAGTGTCTCGGGCCCACCGTCTATGTCTGCCTCCCTGGATCCACAGGAGAGGGAGCTGGAGCTCCAGAAGGAGCAGCGCCGGCAGGAAGAGAACGACAAGTTGCGCCAGGAGTTTGCCCAGCACGCCAACGCCTTCCACCAGTGGATCCAAGAGACCAGGTGCCTGCCCTGCAGCTCCTCCCCACTGTGCTCAGGGCTGGGGCCGGGCTGGGGTCCCCAGTGGGCAGGCCAGTGCCCTGCTCTGGCTGTGCAGCTGGGAGGGGTGGACAGGGTCAGGTGGTGGTCTTGGCAGGCCCGCTCTGCCGAGCTGGGTGCTGCTGTGCTGGGTTACAGCCGCCCCGAAGCAACCCCAGGGCAGCACAGGGCTCGCTGCAGTAGATGGCACTGATGTTCTTGGTTTTGCCTTTTCTTGTCTTCTCCCCTGCCCCACCTCCTGACGACCGCTGCCCTGACCACCACCCCACCTGCGGCTGCTCGGACCTCCCTCACCGCCACAGGACATATCTCCTCGATGGGTTAATATCGTCTTTATTTCCGGGCTCGTGGTGTAGTGGCGTCTCGTGTGCTTGTCCCCCTGCCCCACTGTCCCCTGTGGCCTGGCTTGCTGAGGACTCTGGGATGTACCTTCCTACCCAGGATGGGCTGCACGTCTCTCAGCCTGTGCAGTGCCCACCCCACCCTCACACCCTGTTCCTCTCACTTTAGAGTGTGTCTTGCCCCACAGCCAGCCCAATGTCCCTGGTGGGGTCTGGGGAGGGGAGCCACCCCTGCTTTGTCAGACCCCAGGGGCTCCCGAGGGGCAGGGTCATGCCAGGAGGCCCATGGCTCAGTCCGTATGCCCTTGTGATGATACTGGCCTTCTTTCTGTGCCCCCAGGGTCAGTTAGCCCCTAGGGCAAGGCAGGGCATGAAGTGAGACCACAGTATTAAGGGCTCCGCTGGTGTAGGCAGTCCCCACAGGAGAGAGGGCCAACGTTGACCCCAGACCCCCAGCGAGGCAGTCTCCTGGCTGTCCTTGCAGGCGAGTGGGGGATATGTCAGTTACGTGGGCGCTGACAGAAAATGAGCCAGTCTTGCAGTGGAGACGGGGCTTAGAGGAGCCAGCAGAGAGCAGGTGGCCACTGTCAGGCCTTATCAGAGGTTTAGAGGCTAGGGTCAATGGGACTGCTGTTGCCTCGGCCAGTTTTGGGGAGGGGGGCGGGGGGGGCGGGCAGACTGGCAAATCAAGCATTGGACAAGTGGGAATGGGAGAACAGGCAAAACCATTCAGCCTGCATGGGCCAAAGGCAGAGCGATAGGCGCGGTGACACTGGTTTCCAGTAAAGTCAGAGGCCCCCTGACCCCGTGCTTGGCTCTCCTCCCCAGCCATGCTCCCTTGCTTGTGGCCCCTCCCAGCCTGGGTGAGCTGCCCGCGGCTGCCTGTCCTCCGGGCCACCTGGACACTGGGCAGCTGTCTCCTGTGCACTGCCAGCTTGGCCCCTGTGGCGTGTGTCTGTCTGGATGTGCTCGTGCCGCCCTGCTCTGGAGTATTCACTTGGTTTCTTTTCTCTGACTAGCATAGCCTATCGGCGGGTCATTCGTGTCTATCAGTATGAAGTTGGGGATGATCTGTCTGGAAGGTTTTTCTCCTCTTATTTCTCTTCTTCCCTCACTGTGGTTTTACCCGTGCACTCTTGACTTCCCCAGGCGGCTCTGCTTTCTGACTAACCACAGCCCTCGGCCGCTTGGGAAGGAGGGGTCTGTCCCCTTCCCACTGCACCGGCACCCAGCCTCCTGCTCCCAGCTCCTGGGGGTGTGCTTTTCCCTGGGGGACATGGCGTGACTGTGAGTCTGACGTGCCGGATAGGAGGAAGCCTGGTGCCTGCATTGCTAGCGCACTTTGAACGTGAGAACTTTCCAAGCGGACCTGGCTCACTGGGTTTTAAAATGGTAGACGGGGGTAGGTGGGATGGGGGGGGGGGGCAAAGATCCCTCAAGGACACCAGCACAGTGTGAACTTGTCCCTTGCATGCTAACCCCAACTTGTCTGTGTCGCTGTTCACTGGTAGCCTCCTGTGGCCTCGTCCTGTGACCTTGGGAAGGTGGTGGCTCCCCAGAGCCCACTGTTCTCAGAACCGGCCCAGACAGGGGTCTCTGGCCATGTTCTCTTCGTGGTGGGTCAGGAGTCCTGGAGCTTTAGCCACAGCGATCCCCTCTCTGGGAAGAACTATGACTAGTACCACTTTCAAAACCCAAAACTGGTCAGGGTCTCTCAGCACTCGGAGGGGTCATCCGACTGCCATTGGCCCCATCCCCCTATCCCTGTCACCCACCCTGGAATGTGGCTCCCCTCCTCAGGGACCTGCAGGGACGTCTGGGGTAGGGGCCCGAAAGTCTCCACCTTAGGGCACTGGGTGAGACGGGCATCTATCTCGGTTCCCTCCACGGCTAGAGAGTGTTCTTCTCATGTCACCCTTGGAGGGCCTGGCCTGGGTTGGCCACCATGTCACACCACAGCAGACAGTTCCCATCACAGGGCCGACTAGACTAGCCACAAGCACGGGGTGTGCTTGATGGAGGGGCTGCAGAGTGCCAGGCACCTTTGGCCGAGTAGTCAGTGGCGCTCACTGCTGGCGCGCAGTGAGGCCGCCTTCTTACCGAGCTTCTCTGTTTAGGTCCTGCATGGTGGAGGAGTCGGGGACCCTTGAGTCCCAGCTTGAAGCTACCAAAGTGAGTGCCCAGCAAGTGTCCCCCAACCCCCAGTCCCTCTCCATTAGCAGGCCAGTCTGCTTAAAGGCCCAGGGACAAGAGGGGCAGAAAGCTCACAGCAGCCTGGGACCTAGTCACTTTAAAGAAAGTCTGCCTCAACAGGCGCTCCCTGGAGTCCTACAGGGCTGGGGGTGCAGAGGGGACAGGGAGCTGGGCCTGGGGAGTAAGGCGAGAACCCCTCCCGCAGCGCAAACACCAGGAGATCCGGGCCATGCGGAGCCAGCTCAAGAAGATCGAGGACCTGGGCGCCGCCATGGAGGAAGCACTCATCCTGGACAACAAGTACACGGAGCACAGCACCGTGGGGCTGGCCCAGCAGTGGGACCAGCTGGACCAGCTGGGCATGCGCATGCAGCACAATCTGGAGCAGCAGATCCAGGCCAGGTACCGGAGGGAGGGAGGGAGGGAGGACGGGCGGGCAGCATGGTCTTCACCGCCTGCCTGCCCGAAGCCCGCGGGCAGTCACTGATGTGCTGGTGAGACCCTGATGTCCACTCCATTCTTCCAGGAACACAACAGGGGTGACCGAGGAGGCCCTCAAAGAGTTCAGCATGATGTTTAAGTGAGTCCCCTGTGGCTGCTCCAGGGGCGGGTGGGCGGGCCCTGCCCGGGCCTGTGTGCTGAGTGGCAGCCTTGGCTTTCTGCTGCAGACACTTTGACAAGGACAAGTCTGGCAGGCTGAACCACCAGGAGTTCAAGTCCTGCCTGCGCTCCCTGGGCTATGACCTGCCCATGGTGGAGGAAGGGGAACCCGACCCTGAGTTTGAGGCAATCCTAGACACTGTGGACCCCAACAGGTGAGCAGCCTTCAGGGGAGGGGGGACGTACCCTCTGCCCCAGGCTCCTCCCTACTCACTCCACGGTCTCCCAGGGACGGCCACGTCTCCCTGCAAGAATACATGGCGTTCATGATCAGCCGTGAGACCGAGAATGTGAAGTCCAGCGAGGAGATTGAGAGTGCCTTCCGTGCCCTCAGCTCTGAGGGAAAGCCCTACGTGACCAAGGAGGAGCTGTACCAG